TGAAAAATTTCTAAAAAAACAAAAAAGTATCAGAAAAAAATCTTTTCATTAGATAATCAAAGAGATGAATTCTTGAATTTAGATGCCAATGCTGTTCGTATTCCTAAATTGTAAACAGGACTTTGCTGAATAAAAATTTGCTAAAATTAAATGTGTACACTAAATTTTTTTTAATTTTTGCATTTCTTTTGATGAGTGAAAAAAAGCTTACTCATAGTATTTGCTTACATTAGAATTTGAGTAAGTAGCAACGGATTACATTCTGTTCAATAGTGAGTGCTACTGAATTATTAACTTCTGAAACTTTTTTAGAGTCAAAAAAGTTAGTTAAGTCAGGAAGAGTTTTACTTTTTAAATAAAATAATTCGGTAATAATTACCGAATTTTATGTTTTGTAAATGAAATTTAACAATAAATAAGAGCCAAATGCAATATTTCTACTTATGTGTGCAACAAATGTTTATAAAAGTATGGAGAAAGTCTGCTAGAAAGTTACTCCTTTTCTAATTTTGGCACAGAGAATACTAAGAAGTTAGCGCGAAGGCAATTTGATTTCAAAGTGTTATTGTGCATCAAAACCGGATTTTTTCAAGTTATATGTTATTGCTGCTGCAATGACTCTTAGATGCCAATTTTTTATCTCTTATTGTTATTCTTCAGTTTGCTTCGAAACACATACTTTTCCCCATAAATCTGACATCATACTTCATTTCATCTTAGAAGTTGTAATGTATGTTTAGAATGCAAACACTTTCACGCATATTTTAGAATCATTTAAGAATAAGTTTTCAGAGCACATTCTGGAGCGAATTACGTTATCTTTGAAACACATTTCTTATTTCAAATAATTATAATTTTAAGCGCTGAGATCTTACTTGAAAGGTTTTCGTGGTATTAATTCGTTATCTTTGTATTACCATGAAGAAAACGAAGTAATGCCATAAAAATCTTTCAAGTACTATTATCGTTATTAAAAGCATTATTACCAAATTATTCACGGAATTTAGAAATTGCTAGTAAAAGATTATCCATCTAGTACTGTTACAATAAAATGAAAAATATACTAATATTAACATCAGAAATGATATTAATGCCAATATTGCTTGTAATAACGCTAATAATAATAGTAAGAGCAATGAGAGTGATAATTATGATAGTAATAAAAGTTTCTGCACTGTCACTGATATAATCACTCAAGAGAAGTTAACAGTTATTAAGATATTAATGCAAAATTCAGTGATCACTTACTTATAAGCAAAATTAAAACTTTTATGCATTTTTTTTCAGCAGTTAATTTTTGATATTTATTTTTGACATAAATTAGAGCAAAGAATGTTGTGATCGAAGGTAGTTAGATTCATACGACAGCAACACACACAACTAGTCATGAAATATTTACATTTTGGCAGCGAAAAAAATTGTTTTTCACAAACAATTTTCACTTCAATGACTTCTTGGCTGCACGACAATCTATAATTGATGATACTCTTTTTTAAATGATTAGTTGGGAAAGGAGAAAAAATTTGCATATTTTATCAGTTACGCTGCCCTGAATGATTACTTCTGATATCATATCAGTCATTAAAAAATGCGTTGAGAGTTGATAGATTTGAGATTATAAATTTAGGTAGTAAAAATTGCATCTATCAATCATAGATACTTTTTTGAATTTGATCACAACTCTCAGTCAAATCAATTAAAATCTGTATAACATTTAGTACAAGTATCTCTGAATCCTCGCTATCAAGCACACTTGGGCGACGAAAACGATACCTTTCTGAAGCATATTTCAACTGATAATAGCACTGATCTGTAGAACTAATTTGAGTACATATATGGAAAAAGTAACTAACTGTTTAAAAAGGGTCGGAAAGTGATCTGAAAAACAATCTTATAAAATATTATCATGGAATGACTAGAAGAAGAAATTGTTTCAGAGACACTGAAATGTCTGAGACAAGAAATTATTAGTAGCCACAAAACAAATAAACAATCTTTTCAACAAGCTTGTTCAATTTCGGTTTGCTAACAACTGCTTGATTGATTTGCTAGCAGTGTTATCTGATGTAGATCAGATCAGAAGTCAGAAAAAAATATGCTACTTCAATCTTAATGCTAATAACGATAACAGCAAAGTTTTGCTTTAATTATAACAATAACTGCAGCACTATCAATGCAAATATCAGCAACGCTGAATAATTGTTATAGTCATTGACGATGAATTACCATTCTCTCCTTGACTCTTACTGCTCGCAAATGTTTTAGTACAATGATAATTCGCAACTAAAGCAAAAAGTTATGCTTTGCATTGATAATACTTACTTCTAGCCAAAAAACTGTAAATACTTTAATAAGTAAGTGAACGGTATAAAACAAATTTATAGATAAAATCGTATGCACAACGCCTAATTATTAAGTTGAAAAGATTATTTTTTGTGCTAAAATATGCAAAATGATAATTAAATGAAATAATTAATGAACAAATTAATATTGACTATTTAGAAATAAAAATTCAAACTGAGAGATTTTTGATCAAAATAAAGGATTAGGCTTAGTCATGGGCTTCGATTATGCAAATTTTAAAGGAAATTGATTACTTTGACTGAAATAAAAATTTGCTTTTTAACTCTTAAAGTAATAAATGATTATGCAAATAAATAACTAAACAATCATTTGTTTTATATTATAAATTCCTTTTTGAGTAATAAATAATTAAATATTCAATGATAAGATAGTACTTTTGCTCATAAAATGCAATTCTTGCATTATCAATTTTGCATCAGAAATTTGAAATCGTATACCTAACTCCAATTATCTATCTGACTATGGAAATAGAAGACTAAATAATGGTTTGCTTTGCATCATAAATTCCTTTTCGTAACTGATACGACGAAATAAAATTACTGATAATGAAGAATGAATGATCAATAATCAATGTTAGAAATATACTACGCTCTGATAAAATTGAATAATTATCAGTAAATTGATAAGCAGCTAATTTGGTTATTTAGCATTAATGATAGTGGTGACAGTACTGATAGAAGAGATGCAAATATGGTAGATACTATGCGGCATATATCCGTTGGTTGTATCTATCGTTGAACAATGTCATCTTTTCTCACTCAGTAAATAATTTACGAGGCAGAATAATGCTGGAGGGAGAACCCAAGTAGAAAAAGTATTAACGGAGGGAAATTTGAGAGTAGTGAAGGAGTCAAGAAGAGAAAATGAGTACGTACTGGTGAATTATCTGATAAATATGGTAAGAATACGGTAAATTTTAATTTTAGTAAAAAATGTTGGAGAAGTCAAACGAGGGAATAAATGTTTATGTACGAGCAACAGCCTCGAGAAGCACACACACACACACACACACACGCACACACGCACACACGCATACATGCACGCATACCACATTACAAAATTTAATCGTTTAATCAAAATTGATTGCAAAAATCGTTGCTCACTTTTTGCAATCAAAAGGTGCAAATTTGCAAACTGTAATGCATTTTCGCCATTTATGACAAAATCAAGCAAATGGCACCATGCATATATGCTAATTTTGTGGGACTCAAAAGAACTCACCGATAGTAACGTGAAGAAAGTTACGGTATTGATTGCATACTTACTGATTTATTACGACTGTATTTACTGCGAAGATATTAATTAATTATTTTTAATATCTGTTGGAATGACCTCAATTGGGTAACTTTTATTTGAATAACAATCATAATTGTTAATACTCTTTTTCACGTTGTGTTTAAATACAAAAATTATAATTCTATCCAAAATTCAAAAAAATTTTACGAACAGTGGATGAATTTAAAAAAAACGTTTTAGTTATTATTTCTTTTAAATTTTTACGAGCATTAAATTTTCGTTTTTAGTACCGCGCGATTATATTTATTTGAATCAAGTATCAACATGAACACACAACAAAATGAATCATAATTTTAGCTAAAAAACATTTTCACGTAAAAACCTTTGAAGAAATGTCTCGTGAAAATATACGTTAAAAAAATTTTTGCTTAATCATTATGCAAGAAAGCCTGAGAAGTGCTTCGAGGAAAATAATCATAATTAATAACAGCAATAATATTAACAATATCAATAATAATATTATTATTATTGGTAAGAGTACCAATAAATAATACTACTAAAATTAATATAAATATAAAATCAGATATATTAATATAAATGCATTTCAAATAGTTAGCAAGAAATACACACACACGCAGCCTGGGTAAGTGTCAAAATTCAAAAAAGAAAAAACTTAAGAATGGGAAAAGAGTTTGTCACTCTGATAATTATCGCAATGCCGGTCTTAACAATGATCGCTTTGTTAATACTGAACGAAGCAAAATTCGCGGAGCAAATGACCGAATTTCGATTCAGAGCAAGAGATTACTATTTCAGTGATATAAGTGCTGCAAATTGGACGTAAATGAATTGAATGAAATGCATGACCTTTAAATGACCCCAACGCTATGATTATCTGCCCGATAGTAACAGAATATTTGAAAAAAATTGTGAATAATTAAAAGTATTTATGCATAAAATTTCTAGAATGAATAAATTCCTTTATGCAGTTTATTGAAAAAAAATCAGATACAAAATACTATAAGTAGTAATGTGAATACATTTGTGTACGCAGTTTACAGCTCTTCAGATTATCTAAATTAAAATTGCACTTATAATTAATTAAATTAATAGAGATTTTTTAATGGAATATGCTTAAAGAATGATTTATATTTTTGAGCGAAAAAAAGACATTTGTATTTCATTTTATGAGCCAGATGCTAGTTGAAGCATTTAATACTGTAAAAAAGTTTAATTCAAATATCTAGAATCAAGATTATATCCTGATAAAATTCGATAGTTTGTTGAAATGGAATGATTGAAAGAAATGGAATTTTTTTAACATTAAAGCTCAGACAGTAAGAAATATGATATTAATTTGAAGTATTGCAAAATGAATAAATTTTGTATATTTCATTTGGTTATTTGCTTTTTCCTTGAGATTCAGCTTGAGTGGCATACGATAAGTACATGTTCCAAAATAATCCCACAAACTGGACAAATACAAGCCTGTATCGAAGTGGCAGAAGATAGAAATTCACGAGTTGTACTGCTGGCCATACCTAAAATTAGTTCAAATAGCATTTGTAGTAGATTTTATTCATCTGACTATGACCCTTTATCTTTGACCAGTCAGTATTACATCTGTATAACCAATTACCTACCAGAATAATGTGAACTTATCGCTTTGCATTTGCCTTTGATGTCTTACATTTCAAAAAAGTTAAAAAATGTAAAGGTTACTCACTCTATAATTGGTCTTCATTACAGGAATTATTTCTTTCTTGGCTATTCCAAGTGCTTCATGAAAAGGTTTTCTTTCCAGAAGATGCAAATTTGTGATGAAAGTGAAAGTGAAAGTCGGTGCTGCCATTGACTGAAAGTAAATATTAACTTTTGAGGGAAAGAGGAATGCCTTAAGAGAGAGGTAATTCATATTGGTGGTCAGATGTAAATGAAGAAACTGACCTGGTCAATAATCATTCGCTTCAGTGGTAACAAATTTGGTTTGCCTTTCAATTTTTCTAGCAACAGAAACCATCGATAAGTTATGGGTGCCTGCAAAATTCACCAACTATACCTTTAGCATATCAAATTATTTAAACTTTCATATGATATTTTGCTTGGCAACTTTCAATTCTAAATGCTATAATTTATCTCTCATTTTTCTCGCCTAGTTAAATAATTTTTCAAACAAAATTTGATACTTAAAGAGCTCTAAGGGAGTGAATTTAACTTCCTCTTTGCTTAGTGCAATTATTTTTAATTAAAAACTGAGCAAGCAAAGATTTATGAGCCTTTTTCTTCCTCGTCAATTCATGTATTACGTTAAGTACAAGTAAATCATTCGTTTTTATGCAAATTTGACAACCATTTTCAGTAATATTTTTGTGCTAAGAGTAAGCACCCTTCACGCCTTCTTTCCTAATTATGGCTGTCTACATTTTATTCTTAACAATTTCCATATTTAGCTTGAAAGCACCATCATGTGATATGCTCAGATGAAGGTAAAACTAACAATCCAAAAAAGAATAAGAGTCGCGAATCGAACTGTTCGAATCCCACTGTATTCCCCTTTGTGCCATCGTTTCTCAACCACATTTTGTGTTAAAACATCAGCTGTAGCTGCTAATGCTCCTGCATAATAATAACACCAATATGTACAGATTTTGCCCATTTACAAATCGTTAATTATCTTACTAATAGTCAGATTTTCTTGTCGACAATAATGTTCCAAGCGGAATTAATCCGTATAATATCAAGAAGTTTACATAAAACTCGCAGACGATATGTACTCGCAACCAGTAAGGACAGATATACAATTTTTATTTATTTCTCGAAATTTAAATGACCCTGAGATGCAGATACTAAACAAGTTCATCAGTCATATACATTTGTTCTATTTATGCACCTCCTTCCTTCTTTCAAAATTTAGTCTCAAACGTTCCATCCCTATAGAATTATATGTAACCGCAGTATTTATGTATATACTTCGTTCATTTCAGACATCAACACCATCATCTAAGATTCAGTAAATCCAGACTTTCGGAGCATAAATACTGGCTTTCCACCATCAGACTATAAATCCTTATTAGGCAAAAACTTTACTATGATTTCTTGATGAATCGAAGTAATGCATGTTATGGGCTTGCAATGTTCTTCTATTTAAAGCATGAAAAAAAAACCTGCACTCAAAGCTTGCGTTATAAACGGACGCTTTGCAAGGGCTCGTTCGTAAGCTCGATACACAGCCAACATTCCAGACTTCAAATATGCTTTACATGAACAACTGTTTCACTTTTTTTTACAGCATTTTTCGTATAATTGTGCACATAATGATAATTTAAATCACAATCTAGTATAGTGCAATAAATGTAGTCCCTCTTCTTGAATATTTAACTGTAAACTATTGTAAAATGTTCAGATAAGAAAAGAGGACAAATATTTGATTTTAACAAGTGAAAATAACAAGTAACAAATAAGTGTAAGTGAATTGTTCACCGAACAAATGAGAAGCATGAAGTACACTTTACTTTCAAATGTTGCATTACGTATTAGTAATGCAACATTTGAAACTAAATTATAGAGCGGAGGATTAAGAAAAACAAGTACGAAAAATTGGGTATGTGAGAAAAACAATTATAGTATTGTCTAGATGATACCTATTAAGTAAATAATTCGTCACAATTAAACCTTTCACGGCTAGATACATAAACTAGCGTCTCCACAATATGACCTGACACGCTCCCTTCCACTAGGAAATTCAAAGCAAATCAAAAAACAACTTCAGCTCCAGAATATACTGGAATTTAAAACTGCACAACAATTTAAGCACAGCCAAATTTAAATGCGATAAAAGTGTAAATTAAATTAATATGTAAGTTTTTGTTTCCAATGACATTGAAACTAAAATTTACATAAGATTGATGGTGGCTTAAATCTGAATATGAATTGCACAGAATTTTGGAAAATACAACATTAAAATAAATCATTGCAACAACAAATTGAAAGATTCTGAATGAATCATTCTAGCAATATGTTGAAATGAAACAATTAACATGGATTGCAATTTCCGTATTAGTAACAATAGTAACTATATTATTAGTATGCATTTTTCATGCTGGACAAAGACGATGTTGTGCAGTTTCACAGACTTCACACAAAGCATTTGCAATAATGGAAACTAAAATGACAAACCTATATTTTGCGCGACAGAAAATGACAAAAGTTGTAACTAACCTACGATAATTCATCACGTAACGAAAGTGAAAATTTAGGAATTAAAAAATCATGAAATAAATCACGATAACGTAAATACTACATATCTAAGCAATACAAAGCTAGTATTTGTTACCCAACAGTAACTTCGAGGACATACAATAGCTGCCAAAACATCTTTTCACAATATACTTTTATCTTCGAGTATTTCTGCAAAAAATCTTGCATATACCTGAAAAAAATCTTCAAGGAACCACTCAAGGAAAAAATTGTTTTAAAATCATGTTATGAAACTTCACACTGATATTGCATAAAAAATAAAGAGATTTAAAAAAGATAATTGCACATGATTGTAATTTTCTAAACTTCCCAAATTTATTTCCAGATTAATTTACAGACGTCTTACGAGTATGCAATGTATAATCAAATCATAATTTTTCGTCTAGCCAATGCTGCCACTTAAAAATACGTAGCAACATTAATCTATCTCGAACTCTATTTCTTTAATACAAGTATTTTGTACATCTCCTTTGAAAAATTAGGAATAAAAGTAAAGCAACTAAAACTGTAGATCAGATGTTGAAAACAAACTTTATTCAACACATTTATATAATTTTACTGTTTATTGAAAAACAGGCACTACATACTTGAAAAAAAAAATTCAAATAAGACTTACACAGTCATTCTGAATCGAATTTGAAAGGGATGGTTGAGCTTCGTTCGCAGTAAATGACGCATCACTATTATCCGTTGAACTGTTGGTTGATAAAAAATGCTCACTATTCTTATCTTGCGAACTTGACTGAAAATGTAATTTCTGTCGGGTTGAGCTAAAAATTATTTTTGAAAAATCATTTATGTGAATGAAATGAAGTGTAACAGATATGAAAAATAGTCAAACCTCATTAAAAACAATCATGAAAATGAAAGTAACAAGAAATAGCTATCAAACACTTTTTATTTAGATATTAAAATCAAACTAATCAATTAAAGGTCATGCATGATTTTTTCCCCAGATTTTCGTTCCACAAACCTTTGATACATAAGAACTATTAACGCTATGATATAGCATATTCATATATCTGTTCATTTTTTCCTTCCTTAAACGTTAATTTTTTCCTTCCTTAGATTTCTAATGAAGAATTGAATGAAACAAATGCTATTTCTTATCTACAGAAATCATATACCTCATTCATATATTACTTATTATTACCATCGCCTAATTTCAAACTGAAGTTGTGTTTTCATCTTTTATAAAGCAAAAAAAAAAAACAGAAAAAAACCTCGTCGTCATCATCTCGTCTTTTTACAGGAATTGGACCAAATACTTCATTCACAGGCTTTTTACTAGTTGCATTCACCTGATTGGTGGCCGCTAAATTTCAGCTCATGAGATCATTTTTACATACACACACTTATAATTATTATCAATAAAAACTGCTCTCAATTTCTTTATTACTAATTATTTTGAACAGTGAAATAATACAAAGAAAAAACTACAGTTGAACAAAAAAACTACAGTTGAACACACAAAGGCTCTCCATTGGCTGTTTGAAAACTTTAACTATTTAAAAATCAAATCATTAAGAAACTTAATATCTTAGTACAAGCAAGCAGCTAAAGAAATAAAATTTCGATCATTCATACAAAATGAGTATTGGAATGAAAAATAATTGTAAAACTCACTCCTCTTCCCACTGATTTTATTCACAGCGTCATCAAATTCAACATTTTCTGATTTTACATTTGTTTCTTGCTGAACTAAGCTGAAAAATTGACAGGAAAAAGCACATCCGATAGCAAATGCTTGTAGAAAATAGAAAGTTCTGCGCTTCAATCATGGAGTATTTTTCAAAAACACAAAACACTTCTTGAAATTTTCCCAGCATGCGCTTCTATGTTAAAAACAATGAAAATCAATGAAATTTCAAATAAACGATTTGAAAATTATTCAAAATGCATATCAATATTGTAGGGAAAACTTTACAAAACCTTTCTTTATAAAGCCTTGCTTATATTTTTGAAAAATAAAGTAATTTAACGAGACAAATAAAAGAACAAACTCACTACATATCATCGTCTTCGTCACTACATCCGCAAACTTCTGTCTTATATTCATTATTTTGCTCTTGACAATTAAAATTGAATGACGAAAGAGAGGAATTCTCATCTAATACATGAAATCGCCCCAATTTAGAAATAATTTCCAGTGAATCAGTTGTCTTGTCACAAGCAGTCAGAAGTTCAGGATTTGACCGATTATCTATTCCAGCTTCGATGCTGGGATTTGGCATCAGCGATGACTCACCAGTACCATTTTTTAATGGGGTTGAATTAAAGTTAATAGTACTAAGTAAATCGAGAGTAGTCGAGGAAATTACTGAATGCAGATCTGGCTCGGGTACCTAAAACTTAAAGAGATAAAGGGTAAAGTAAGAGACAACAGAAAGACCATATTAATTTTTTTCCTAAATAATTTTCGACTGTGCGATGCAAATTATTAACTCGTAAAGGTTTCTCATCCAAATCAATTAGACAATTTGAGCTGTTCAATATAGACTTTGTAGAGGGCACTATTTGTGCTGTATTATCTGAGACGTCAATTAAGTCACATGTGTCACTTGCATCAATCTGAAAACAACACAAAGTCATAAATATTCTGCAATATTTGAATACTTTGAAAGATGAAACAAATGAGTGCCGCAATCAATGAAAAAGATTTAAAATTTAAATATTTAAATTAAGTGGTACGACAAAAGCAAAAAAAATTGTGATTAAAGATATACACCAATGATTAAAAATGCAAAAACCTACTAACTGAGCAGCATTTTTTTCAGATAAATGTTCTTCTATAGGTACATTATCTTTACTGATATCATCTTCTAAACTGGAGAGACTATATACACGATATTTATGTTGACGATTGGGTAATTCAGGACAAGCACGAAAATACCACTTCGTACCTAATTGGTATTTATTCTGAAAACATTTTCCCATACAACTGAATTATAAATCTTTTCCTACAAAATCATGCACCGCTGATGAAAGCCAAAACGACAGTACATGTAAAGTATAAATTGCTTGAAACCACACTTTCAAAACATTGAAAAAAAACAACTTTCTGCCTTCTACAAGTTTCGTAGAATAGTTTCATGTTTTTGAAGAAAATTATGAAGAAATGTTTACCTGCATAGCACAGATTCTCACAATATGCGGTACATAAGGTCGCATTTCAAGAGGGAAGAACAGGTCGCCGCAAACTCTAAGATCTTCCTCATCTATTGGAACTAGCACCACACCTTGTCCAACATACTACAACATTTTTAACTATTTTTCCTTTCTATAAAGAGCTCAGAACACATTTTAAAATATGTTTATAACTTATGATAACCCCCTTAATTATAGCAAATCCTTCTCGATCTTGCCCAAATCTTTGCACACTCAACGCAATTCTTTTAACTGCTGGGTTTGTAAGTCCATACATCCATGAAGGTGCATTTAAAATCCGACCTTCAACAGAGTGCCCTTTTTTCGTAAATTCCGGCCAGTGAATCTTAAAAAAATAATTTAACAGATACAACTAGGTTTTTAAAGAAGCTTCAAGTTATCATGCTACGTATAGAACTGATTCGTACAGATCGCGAAAAAAATCCAACCTAAAATGAGTCCACAAATTAAAATACACTTTGTCCTTCTTGAAGAGGAATTCAAGATATTATCTTGAAACAACTCTCAAGAAATCGCAATTTAATAAATTATATGTCAGTCTGGATTTCCATCCGGACTGACATATAATTGACATAGGCTGGGAACAATACTGACATACGCTGGGAACAGCCTTAAATATAAGATCCCTCCATAAAATAGTCTATTGCGCACTGCGACGTGTTTCACCACATTCATCTAGCTTCGCATGTTTGAAAAGGATTAAGTATTCAGCAAAATATTACATCTACAGTGATATCGCTTTTTTTAGCCAAAAATGCTGAAACTACTTCTTCTATAGGAAATACTTGACGAGGCAGAGCAACTAGTTCATGATTTGCCATCAAAGCAACTGGTACCTTCCGATCATCTTGTATCACTACCATTGGTAATAACTGTGCTGTAAAGAAATAATTACTGTTTTGAGATAAAATACGCAGGACATCATTTATTTTAAGGGCCTGAATAAAGGAACTTATACGTACGTTCAGAACCAATTTTAGTGCTTAGTTTAATGGAAGTACAGGTCAGTATTATGTGAACACGATCTCTATGACTCTTTAAATTGGAATTTCCTTCTACTTCAAATTCTACCTGAAAAAATACAACGCATCATCAGTCTTACACAAAGACCAATCGCGATTCAGATCTCACAGCACTAAATTAATCTTCTTTTATGATAATAATTTCTTACAATTCTTCGGGAACCCAATATATTAATAAAAACTATCGTTGTAACATGTGTAAAATGGGTATAATTCTGAGTACGATACGAAAGTATCCCCACAATATGTTTCAGATATCTAAAAAGTAGTTTAAACATACCCCCAAACCAACTTGGAAAATATTTGCTAAATTATCAGTAATCGCGTTCAATGGTACATCATTTACTAAGGTTGAAAGCGAGAAATAAAAATGAATATACGGCCTTGTAAAATTAGACCGACTAATAATACGACCATAATCTCTTTGTACTTCCAGAATTAATCCTGGTTCACGGATCACGTCTGTGTCTGAAATCCGTAAATTTCATGCATTTTTTCAACAAATAAAAATTAATTAGCCATTTTCAAACGAAGAAAAAATACGAATGAATAAGCGTTGCTTACCTCCTCCTTTTGGATATAGTGAGGAGCAGTTTTGCCGGCGATTAATACTGAACGAGTTCCCATCACAACTAGGAACAGAACGTCTCAATCCACTATTAAACTGTGAATGATCGGAATCTGAAATAATAAAACAAACCACTACTTCTTGTGATGAAATTACTAATGCCTTCCAATTCGTCAAAAATAAATTTAAGGGTCCTTTAAATATTCTTGAGCTCTCTTAAACTCGCAGAATATAATTTTACGTAACATCTAATACGAAATCAAGGAGTAAAAGATAGAAGTTACGTTGATTATGTCGATTATTACTATTATTACGGCAAACTGATTGTGGAAACAACTCTTGGTAAGCCTCCGCCATTCCAAAAGAATGCTACAAATGAAAAACTCAGCGATTTACTGCAAATTATAACGATTACTGCTAGATGAAATTATAAATTATGCAAATTAATAACTTGAGATCTGATAAAAAGTAAGCAACTCGGAAACCAACTGCCTCATATGCAAAATTAAAGCTGAAATATGACAAAGGTCTTGATTCAAAAGATCAAAAGCTGTGAAATGTACGCAGTCGTCAAGTAACAAATTTTACAAATTTAAAAACTAAGAAATATTAAAATGAGAAAAACAAAAAATATCTCCATGGGTTCAAACTAATGAAGTTTTAGAAAGTGTAGGAAAGGATAAAGTAAGTTAGCAATGATTAATGCAACCAATTATGCAAGCTAAATGATTACGAATTTATTTGAATGAATTGGGAGGGAAGTTTTTTCAATGTGAGCAAACTGATTTTGAGTTGAGGCTTTTCATAACGTCCATATTATTTAAAGCCTATAATGTGATCTGACGTGTTGATTTGCATCCGTACAATGTCGATTGATGTTGTACCTTCCTGTAATATGTATTTCTGTTTTGGATGGAGGTTTGAGTGCAGTCTGTATGGACGTGAGGCGTGTCAGTGTCATTGTAAATATGACGTGTGTTATTATACTTTGCATTATTAGTATTGAAGCGCACTACGTATATTATGGAGAAGTTTTGGGACCGACCTATGATTTTTATCATGTATTAGCTTACTTTGTGATGTGATTGCTTATAATAATAGCCACCCGATTTTAAGCATAAGAATTTGCATTTTTATAGTTCAGTTCACTTTTTCATACCTCTCAGGTAGCTCATCATACTACAATGCACATATTTTTTTGCGTTGTATGTTGTTGATGTATTTGCTTAGTTATAAGACAAGTTCATATTAGAATTATTAGTTAAGTTACTTCTGAAGAACCTATCTACAATCCATTTTACTCGGAAGTTTTGATCTTCCACATTATGACGCGTTATTGTTATGCTGATCACGATTTTACCAGCTTGTTAGGTTTACTATGGTTGTTTTCTATTTTTACATGGTTTCTAGCATACGTTATGGGATTCGTAAAAGTAATCAAGAACAAGGCGTATTTCAAACGATATCAGGTTAAACTGAAGCGTCGACGTCAGGGCAAAACGGATTATTATGCTAGGAAACGTCTCACAGTGCAAGATAAAAATAAGTATAATACTCCTAAATATCGACTAATCGTGCGCTTTACCAATAAAGATGTCGTCGCTCAAGTATGTAATTTTTTTGCATTGAAGTTAATTGTCATATTAAGAACAGCTTTAAAGTTGAAGATACAAATGTAAAAAATTGTAAAATCTCTAAAGTTTTTTAATGGATTGTTATTTTATTTTAGAAATTTTTAATCAGTAAGGAAAGGGAATAAATAATATGTAACAAGCTTTGCAAAGTGCATGAATTCAACATGTTAGCTTTGTATTGTGTTTGTGCATGAATATTTTTTATTATTAGACATTATGACATTTTAGCAGTATTCTTTTCACTACGTGAAATATGAAACATTAGTAGTTAATATTGCCAAAAATTTCACATCTGTACTTGCAGATAGCATATTCAAGGATTGAGGGTGATGTAGTCGTGTGCGCCGCGTACTCTCATGAGTTGCCTCGTTACGGAATTAAGGTAAATTAGTGTCGCTGTCAATCAGCTTTGTTGAGTTATATCTTTAAAGAAATACACATTAGATGTTTTCAGTTTGTACTCTTCACATCAAAGAAATTCAGTAGCCTCAATTATTTTCAGGTAGGCTTGACTAATTATGCATCTGCTTATGCCACTGGTTTGCTGTTAGCCCGACGTCATTTGGCAAAAATTGGTTTAGCTGGAACTTATAAAGGCATTGAAGCGACTGGTGAAGATTATAACGTTGAAAAGGAGGGTCAGCGTGCACCATTTCGAGCGGTTTTGGATGTTGGTTTGGCACGCACTGTTACGGGTGCTAAGGTTTTCGCAGTTATGAAAGGTGTTGTTGACGGTGGTATCGACGTGCCACATAGGTAAACATAATCTTCTTCTACTTCTGCATGAATACATCAGTTTTGTCTCTGTCTCAGGTTAAAACAGTTCATTGCTTATCATTGAGTGTCATCGAGCTCAGTCTTATTCTAAATTTATTGAAGAAGTTGTGGACTGCCAAGATTAACATACTTTTTTGCAGTGAGACGCGTTTCTTTGGTTATAATTCAGAAACGAAATATAATGCTGCTGCACATCGTGAAAGAATATTAGGCAAACACGTTGCTGATTACATGACTTTTTTAAAAGAGCACGATGATGAAGCATATAAGCGACATTTTTCACGCTTTATTGCTGCTAACGTCAATCCAGATAATGTTTGTTAATTTATCTGATTCTTTTATTTTTAATTTTCGGTGAGCATGATTCAAAAGTTTTATTCGTATTCGTTTCTCAAATATGACATTATAGATCATAGAAATGTATGAAAAGGCGCACGAAGCTATCCGTGCTAATCCAGCACCCTTACCAAAAGTGACGAAGAAGGTCTCTTTTTTCGTTTCCTGATTCTTTTCGGTAATATTGACAATTCGAAAAGTAACTGAGTTTCCAATTTGTAAATATTGATACGTGTTATTATTTAAGGTGACAAAGAAGAGATGGACGGCGAAAAAAGCAACGTTGGAAGTGCGTAAGAATCGTATTAAAAATAAGAAGGCGTACCTTATGCGATTGAAGGCTCAGCAAGAAATGCATTAAATGAAGCAGTCATTTTTGTTAACATATTTTTACATGAAGAGATACTTTATGCTAAAGGACATTGTTGCGATAATCGCATGACACAAGTTTAAAAATTGTTAATGTCAGCGAAATGACATTTTTGAAAATAAACAGGTTACTAAATTTTGTCACAGAAGTAAACAGATTACTATTAATTAAAAATTTGGAGCCTTTCAAGTTGTTTAAATGGAATGTGCAAAGTTGGTTCCTCGAATTATCAATAGTTCACATAGTGTTAGGTGGTGGTACAGTTTTCGTGAGTAGAGGGTGCATTGCATCCTGTAATCATTTTATTTTGCCTGTTATGTTGCTGAGAAATGCTTGGTGGTTAAATTTGTTGCTGGGAAAATAATTTGAATCAAGTAATTATTCTGGGAAAGGGGAGCAGAAGTTTTAATTTGGTGATGTGTTTAAGGTTTCTCAGGCATTTTTCGTCAGTAATTATCGTTGACATGTGTCTGGGAAAGATAGCGAACTTTGACCTTCGACCTGAAGAATTAGAATTAGTTATGATTATGTGTCGTATGTGGACATTTTGATTGCTTGTGATTAGGTACAAGAATGCTGGCGGTCGTGAAGGTGCGTTAATTTTTATGAGATGGGAAATAATTTTGAGGTCTGGGAATTCTTGGATGAAGGCGGATGTCCTGTAGGTAACAGAAATCAGATTTACATACATCGAAGCAAATGAATTGTGCGGAGTTTGGTCGAAGGATTTGTGTGATATTCATCATTTCCTAATAACTGCTGTTTTTTAATACAGAAAACTTTATTTTCATGCGTGGGATGTTAATGTTGACTTCATTGTTAATCAGGTTACTATTCTGAGTGTTGTGATATTAACTCAATAAAAAAATCAGTCTAGTGAAGTCAACCAAAGCTATTTTCCAATTGTATGTCGTGAAGCCGATTTTTGTACGTTGTTTGTCTATCATATTATACAGTCAGTTCTCATTATAAAGAAGGACTTATAATTTAATACAATGATGATTTGATTATGACTGATTTTGTAGCAGAAATGAATGTAACTAGGAATTGTTTAGAATTTCATAGAAACATTTTTTTTAAACTCTGATATAAGTTATTTTTTCTTTTTTTTGACGTTTAAGAATTCGAGAAATTACAAGTGGTATTAATAACTTAAAATACAAAAAAGTAGTAGAGTGGAGGAGATTTAGAAATTTAATTGCAATGCAGTGGGTGCTGTAAAATATGCAAATTTTAATGTTTTATGTGATATAAATTGGATATAATATCCAATCTTAATTATGCAGAAAATTCGATGCATAAAACAATCGTTCTAGTAATATGAAATATTAGTTTTTAATATTAGCATGTGCGTTAACTTTTGCTCATTTTCAAATTAGAAAGAAAAATAAATTTGCCTATTCTTCACATTATGAGATTAAAATCTGTATACTTCAGCGATAAAGCTGGAATATTCAAATGATGAGAATGGAACAGAATGTGAAATTTTTTAGATGACAGTGTATTCGTATTCAAAAGAATTCAATGTAATTGACACCACAATAATAAGAAGTAAATATCTGTTATGTATTTGTTTAATTTCATTTAAAATACTGCAAGAAGAAAGTGGAGTAATAATAATTTATATTAAATCAATGGCTGGCCAAAAGTTTTTGCCACTTTTAAATAGTTTATTATTATTATTATTATTTTTTTTTGATTTTACTGGAAAACAATTTATTAATATAAATATTAGTTAAAAAAAGCAAGGTTTGATCTATGTTTAAGCCTTTAATTGAATCAAAGTCATGAATGATTAGGCGACAAGATGTCGAATCTAGTTATGATTATGTGGACATTTTGATGTCCATCTCGAAGCATTTTCAAGATTGCTGACCAAACTAACTTCCGCCTATCAGTCTGACAGACTTAGAGAGACTCTTTTTTTACAAAATATCTTTTAGCTTACAAATCTCGCATCATTATTTAAGCACTGAATATTTCCGTTCCTTCTGTGTTTTCAACTTTTAGGGATTCAGAATACTAATAATGTGAAAAAATAATACATTATCATTTTAGATTTCTTAGCAAACGTTAATATAAGTAAGATAATGATAGTCATAACCGTAATTAAGAAGTAATACTGCTGATTAAAATTGTTTGCAAATTTTCATCTCTCTATGCTTACATATTGAAATATCATCAAACATTATAATTATTCTAGTACCTTTACTTTAATTGAATGCTAAGCAACATTAAAAGCAATTAGTGAAGGTGACATAACTATAAGAAATAATATAAAGTAAAGTAGTAGTGATGAGTAGTAAAGGTATGTGATGGAAGTAATCTGAATAGATCAGAAATTTTTAGATCACAGATCATTTCAAATTATGGTGACATTAGTGATAACTTTTTGAATTAGTCATCTTAAGTCCGAGTAATAGTAAAAGTTAAAAAATAACAAAACAGATGAAACGATAGAAATAACAATTAAATAATACTATTAGTAATAAGTAAAGTAAGAGAAACCAAATATTCTGAGAGACGGGCCAGTTTGGAAGTATTCTTTCAGATGGAGGAAGTCACTGTAATGACACGTCCAACATTCAGTTAGACCATTCCTTTTTGATCACGTAAAATATGCAAATTTCTCAAATTCTGACAATGCATTGATGTCAACAATTTTTTGTTCTATCATTTTCAACTTTGGTATCAATTTTCAAGCAACCGTCAACTTATTCAAATGACTGCTTGAAAATTTAGGTTTGAAAATATTTTTTCATAAAAGTTATATTTTGCTAAATATTAAAATCAGAACGAAAATAAAGTTTTTCGGTTGCTTTTTTAGTTTTAGTACAGTTTAAATGTCATAATTAATTTGATTTGAGTAATATTTTGGCAAAAAATAACCTTGATTAATTTTAAAAGCTCAATCTTTTTCTTCTCGTTGTAATGCACCAACTTTAATATCAAACTAATCTCATGAGAAAATGAAACATTTGCGTATTTGATTGAGTGCATATGAAAAATATATTAAATTTATTTTGGGACAAATAATTCAAAATTAATTTAATAACTTTCTGATTTAATTTTAATTTTAATTTTGATATATGATGTAAACAATACTGAAGTGGTTTTAAAATGAAACTTTAAGCATTAATGTAAATGCTAAGTTATTTATGGAAAAAAGTGAATTTTAATTTAATTTGTTGAATATGCAAATTTTTGAGTTAAAAAAAAGAAAAATAATGTTCGTAATAGCAAAAGGAAAAATCTACGAATGCATGTTCCCATGAAATTGCAACTTTGAAATGGTGAAGGAATTAAGAAAAGGTCCTCGAAGTACAAGTTTTTTGTACAAATTATATTTGAGAGTGAAGCAAAAAGTTTTCTGCATCACAAATTATTTATTCGGAGTGAATTTAAATCTTTCGTTTATTATTATTTTTACGCATATTATTTTATTCCGTTGGAATGCACTTTTTTAATAAAAATTTAATTAATCTATTTCTACATATTATTCAAATTTCATTTCGTTTTCTATAATTTTGGAAGTACAGAAGATATTCTTTTGTTTATTATTAACTGTACAAAACTTTTTTCAAATACATTTGTTTAACTGAATGTTTGAAGAAGTTTATAAAAAATTAAATTGATTGTTTATTTTTTGGTCATTCAAAAATATGTTATTATTTAAATTGATAACTTTAAAATATGCACATGTTTGAAAATAAGTCTCACTTGCAATACAATTAATTATTGATACAAAAATTGTCAAAATTGAGCTGAAGAAGCTTCTTTATGCAATATGGAATCAAAATTTATCGTGTTATATATGCATGCATAAGTTTACAGAATTTGCTTAAAACATAATTTAGAGTTCTAATAGATATTCAAATACTTGCATGACCCCTCCAACTTTTTGTGCAAGTTTGTGCTACTTACTCATCTTTATGATTATCAACTGATTCGTGTTTTAGTGCTAAAACAGTAATGAGTACTTCATTTCAAGTGTCAAAGGTTGCACTAAAGAAATAATAAATGCAGATAATATTCAGTAGGAATTGTCGGTGAATTTTTTATTGCTTATTAATGAAGTGAAACTGTATAAAAAGATTTAGCGTAATTTTCCCATGGATTACTAGAAGTAAGCTTGTTGATATTGGCTATTAATCTCACGTTGTCGTAGTGTTTCTTTGACAAATAGAATACATAAAATTTGACAACACAATAAGCATAGTTTAAGAGCTCAATAAAGACTGGCTGATTAATGGTAAGGAAACAGAAAGAGTTGCTCAATTCGTAATTACTGCGCATAAGGCATTACCTCTGATGCCACAGCAAGCCAAATAGAAACTAAAATAAGAGTAAATTGCTTTACAGTAAGAAAAATTTAGGGGTACAAGAAAGACAAGTAACTGTCTGATAAGAAATACTAGATAGCGCTATCAATTTTTAAGTGTACCAAAATGTTACGAACGTTTTCTATTTCACTCAGCGCACAGATACAGACACACGTCAGCATCGGCGCCAGATTGAACTTTCTAGGAAAAATAAGGATATTGCGGATAATCCCACAAATCCATGTGAAAAATGAAGCGATTTTTGTTGAGCATCAAGCATATGTTTGGGTTTAAATCCAATGTATATTGCGTCAATATTTACACAAATTCTTTTTTCTCTCTCTATTTTTTATAGCTGCAAAAGAGATGAAACATTACGAGATGACCCAGGTGTGACCTGTTGAAGCACTTTTTCATTGAAAGGCACTAGCACGTGAGTTGATTTAGACACATCCCACTGATTTTTTTGGACTGACTTTTGCTGATTTCCAATCTTTGGCAAATTTTAATTTCAAACTAGACTTCTGGGCATCAATCAGTTGCAATTTCATTACATAAATATTCTATCTGTTGAATTCTTAATTAATATCTTTCGAAAAAATTAACGAGCTTATATCCTTAATGTTTGCCTGCTTTATAGTTTAATCATCGAAAGCAGAATTTGAAAAT